CAACTGTGGCCACACTGAACAAGAAATGGCGGATGCTCTACGATAGTTTTTCAAGAAAAACGACATTGACATACGGGATTGTTCCGGGTAGTCATACGATAATGCGCCAAACAGGATTGTCGCCCCTAAAGAAGTGTAAGCTCTGATACCCAAAGAGAATAGCATTGCCGCTTACATTCTATGCTCCGTACATCCCTGTGGGGCTACTCTCTAATGCGATACAAAAGAGAAATGCGATTGACAAAACAAATTTTGGACCAGTCTAATTTATATGGGTATACTAATTTTAGCTAATGTATTTCTTCCGCGATTTCTCGCTAGAAATGCTCCTCAGTACTTAAAAGAACTCGAAAGTACTCAGTAATTAAAAAAACTCTGTTCCAATCATCACTTTGATATCTTTTCTCAGAATCGATTCAAAGTACTCATATCAGTATTAAGTGCCATATAGATATTTACTTAAAAATACGGAATTCAGAAATCAATGTACTCATTTTCAAGTTTCAATAATTTTCTATTAAAATACATTCTTGCAATCAGTAGTTAGCCAATCACTCATTTGACATAGTTTGGGATTAATATATGTATTAATTTGAATTCAAATTTGGCAACATATGTATGTTTAAAGAAAGTACTCAGTACTCTCAAAAATACCCGACGCTTAAAAGTATCGATACCAAAGAACTCGATCCTCAATAGTACTCGATACTTCCCAACACTAGTGTATGTTTGCATTAAAGCTGCTCGTTAATTTGTTAATTTTCAACAATTTTTTTTTTCTCTTTGCTATTCTTGTGGGTTTTGGTTCAAATCTCATGATTTTAAAGCTCTCATTAATTTGGCAGAGCCCTATTGTAAATGACACTTGGTGTTAAAATAGAGCAGGGACGTGATCCGGATGGAAAATTTGGTCGGTTCGGTTTAGCGGCTCGAAACGCTTTTGCACTTTCGAGTGGTTCGTCAAACCGGTTTTGTTTGTCCTTGAACCGGAGTATCGGTTCAGTTAAACGGTTCGGAAGTTAAAAAAAACTATGTAGTATATATAGAAACATACATAATTTATTGGCTATTTTCTTTTGTTAACTTAATGTTTATAATTTTTTCACACATTTCGCACTTTGTAAAAAGTTATAAAAATTCAACAAACTTTCACAATTACGTCCAAAAAATTTTAAACTTTTCATTCAGAATTTTTAGGAAAATTGTAGGTATGCAGTTTTATAGGCCATTCAATTCTAGAAAAGTTAAAGAACAAGTCCAGTTTCAAGACGCCAGAAAATCGCCTCGATTTATATGAAAAAAAGGAAGGCATCGGTGGCCCTCTACTGCTGCAAGAATGCCATAGGGAAGAGATGGGGCCTCTCCCCAAAAGTGATGTATTGGCTATATGAAACCATAATTAAGCCAATAATGTTGTATGGGGTCATCGTCTGGTGGAGTTCACTGGAAAAGACCAGTCATGTTAGGAAGCTAGAGCGCGTGCAAAGGGCAGCCCTCGTTGAGATCAGCGGGGCGCTCCGAACCACTCCCACCTTAGCGCTAAACGCTATACTCAATGTCGCACCTGTCGATATTTCGGGCAAAGTAGCGGCGGTTCGCTCAGCCATTAGGCTCAAAAGCTCTGGGTTCTCTTTCAATCCAGCGCACGGACACTCGACAATTCTCGAAAGCTTCGACTTCGTGCCGAAAGAAATGGACCGGGGTCACCCGAGGCTGGCCCCTAAAGGATCCTTCTCCACGCACATCCCCTCTAGGAATGAATGGAAGAAGGGTGGTCTCTGGAGAAGAGGTCCAATAAACATCTTTACGGACGGATCGAAGCTGGAAGGGAGAGTTGGAGGAGGTGTCTACTGTCAGGAACTCTCAGTAGATCTTACTTTCAGACTGCCGGATCTCTGCAGCGTCTTTCAGGCAGAGGTGGCCGCTATAAAGGAGGCAGCCGATTGGCTACGCACCAATGTACTGTCAAAAAGGAGGGTAAATATATATACTGATAGCCAAGCGGCAATCAGGGCGCTGGGATCGCTAATGGTGTGCTCAAAACTGGTTGGGGAATGCCTGACCTCTCTCTCAACTGCCTCGGAGTACTTCCAGATCAAGCTGATTTGGGTCCCGGGGCACAGTGATATCGCGGGAAATTGCAGGGCTGATGAACTGGCCAGGCAAGGCACCCTTGAGGCCATCACCTCGGATAGGGAGGGCATTGGAGTTCCGTTGGCAACCTGCGGCCTGCTTTTGGACAGATGGGCTCATGGTCGGCTCAGCGAGCGCTGGGAAAAAACCCCGACTTGCAGAGTTGCAAGGTCCTTCTGGCCGGTTGTGGACCGCGGGCGGTCAAGGGAACTGCTGCAGCTGGCTAAGCGTCAGCTCTCGATTTTCACAGGTGTAGTGACCGGACACTGTCCAATGGGAACCCACGCGGTGCGACTCAATATCGTCACGGATCCCTACTACCGCAGTTGCCTGGAAGACGAGGTGGAATCATCTCAGCACTTCCTACTCAACTGCCCGGCATTCGCTAGATTACGGTTTAAGCATCTCGGTGCGCATTTCATCGACACTCCCGAGGGACTCTCCGGAGTGGACATCAGCTGTTTGAAGAACTTCATTATGAGCACCCAGCGCTTCTCGTAATTTTTACGCAGTTACCGTTCCTATGTAATGTGGTATCACAATGGACAATCAAATGTCTAAGTGAGTCCCCTTTGCGGGTCTGCCACCTTAACCTAACCTAACCTATATGAAAGAAAATGTACAGCACTGTCTGCAAAAAGAAAAAAATATCAACGCGAAGTTTTTCTAAAAATTCTGAATAAAAATTTTAAAGCTTTTTTGTGAAATTGTTAAAGTTTGTTGAATTTTTAAAATTTTTGTACGAAGTTTGAAATGTTGATTTATGTGGTGCTGGATATATAATGTACTAGACTTAAAAAAAAACTAGACATTAAATAGAAAAAAGAAAAGTGGTCAAAATCTCACTTATTTTAATCAGCTGACCACAAGGGTATGTCCTACGCTATACATACGTGGGAAAGAATCATCTACTGGCAAAAATAATGGTATTTCCAAAAAAAAAGTGTTAACAAATGTGGGAAAATTTTCCTATCCAAAATTCGTCGAAACGAACATTAAACCTATGTATATAAAAAAGTTTCGGTTTTCGGTTCGGCTGAAAGATTTGTAGAAAACTTGGTTCGGTAAATGGTTGATTTCGTTTCAAGATCGGTTGCCGTCCCGGTACTTAACAGCTTATGAAGAACCAGTTACTTTTTACACGAAAAGTTGAGGGCGATGTTTTTTTCCCAGCTCGGACATCCATGTTTCAAGCACCTACATATTTATGGAATTTGTATTCTTATGCAAATACATACTATAAATTTAACATTTCCAGATAAAAAAAAAATATACTCGTACAGGCTTATACTATTTATTTTAATACATCGTTATAAAAATTTATGCTTTTATATACTAAGGAGTATGTACTGTTATATATATATATCTGTATATGTATGTGTGTGTGCGTGTAAATAAATGATTCGAGAAATTAGCAGGCCACCGAATGCTATATCCAATTTTGATAAATAAATAATTTTTTTCGGTTCAATGTTTTAAAAAAAAATGCAAATTTCATAAAATTGAAACGTATTCGTGTACATTATTCGATACCTAATTTGAAATGGATCTCTATGCAAATGTATGCTTGCCGGGTCCAATTGGAACAACCCAATTGCCGAAAAGCATTTTGCTCACTCAGTTTTTTAACCTACAATGCTTAAAAATATGGTGTTTATTTTTTTTTTATAACAAATATGTATATTAATGCTTTATAGTAGATATTTGTATACGTTAAATGTATAAATGATAGCGACAACAGCAAGCGTAGTTTCCACAATTATTTATCGCCAGACGTGTCTGCCACGCCAAATGCCGAAATAAACACATTAATAACGGTAATTATGAAAATGCCACAAATTGTATAGTTGCTAACTCTGTTCGCATGACAAACCTCCTTTTTGTCTTCAATGTTGTAACGACTGGTGAGAATTAAGCCAACACCAACAGCTATCTGTAATTAGAAAAATATTGAAAATTGAATTTTCGCTGTCACTTTAAATTTAGTATAAAAATTAGTTACTTGAAAAGCAATGCTAAGTATTAGGAGAACCAAGCTGGGATAGTAATATGGATGTCTGTTGAAGGTCTCCAACACATAACGCAATTGATTGGCGTTCGCTGTAAGTAATGCTAAATCCATCATTCCCTGGGCTAGTGTTTTCTTGTGCGCGTAGGCATTAACATCTACGCTGGCGAGGTCTTCAGGGGCATCCATGTCCTCTGTAAATGCAAAAAGTTATATAGTGTGCGGTAAGTACTTTTTTCAATCAAATTAGATCTCAAACATTTACATACATACATATATGTATAACAAAAACTATATAAAAATATCTATAAACATTCACCTGGAATTTGTATTGGTCCATCTATTTCGCTTCGTTCTGAATCAATAAAGTTATTATGAGTTAATCGTTCTCTCTCCGAACGAAGGTCTCCGACATTAATCGATTCCTGAAAATATATATTTTTTTTAATGCTTAGTCGATATTAAAGTGAACATGAAACGAAAAGTATTTTAGCTTCATCTAGGTTTAACTCAAACAAAAAAAAAAAATATTTATACATATAATAATATAACCCCCTCAAAAGACCAGCGCTGCTTTTTCCCCATTATAAAAAGAATTTAAACATCCGCAGATTTCAATAACGTCTCTGTCAAGACATGACTGGAGGGTTTCGGTTCAGCCTCAGTTAATCCATCCATATATCACTGGGTTGCAAATCTTTTGAACTACCGGACAGTGATGGCTGATTGGGGTTCAGTGATGATGTGCAAGATTAACAGTTTAAACCTGATGATCTACTTAGTGAGTGGTCATCTCTGGCAGATGTCTAAACTTAATGAGTGAAATTCTCTAGAGAACATTGAGAGATATTCACAACTGGACTGGAGATGTAAAAGGGCTTGATGAAAATCCATATAAAAGAGATTTGGTACTTTTTACAAGGAAGTATTCGATTGTTGCGTTTCATGAAAATTGCAAAAAATTCTTAAATATGCATGCCATCAATAGAAATAAATTTCGATGTTATAGAAAAAAACAAGGCCGTATTTTAATTTGCCATACGTAGATGTTAAAAAAAATTAACCTTAAATTTCGCAGGCTTGTGCTATTGGTCTACGTGAGATCACATGGAATGATCTAAGTTACCCTAACCTAACTTTGGTATAAGAATATTAGAAATCTTACTAAGGATGACAGTTTGCAGCGGTAAAAGAAAAAATAAACGAGAAATGAAATATGCATACAATAACTTTAACAAGTTAATATCACCTTTCTTTTTGTTCGTATAATTAAATTTACCCTCAGTAAGAGTAATTCTGGATCAGTCCTCTAATGATATTCCATGTATACCAAACAAAAACTAAATACACATACATACATATCGCTGGTTTACTTGAAGAACGTCATAGTCCAAAAATCACAAAAAACCCCATTACCAGTAGCTCTTTAGAAAACATTAGGGCTGTTCAGGATCTTGTGGAAATAGTCTTGGATTTGCAGTTGGAATTGCATTTGCAAATTTTATGCTTGCTGCCATGGAAACCGAGTGCATTTTATTGTTGTGAATTTACAAATGCAAGTGTATATACACAAGATCCTGAACAGCCCTAATATGTATTCACTTTTATAGCAAATTTCCACCAAAGGCTTAACTGCAGTTAGGAGCTCAGGTAAGTTCCAAGAATTTTAACATCGAGTGATCGGTAAAGTTTATATCTTAATTAAGGTACCTTTTTTAAGCAGGGTTCCCACCTCTTTAGAAATTCAGAATCAATTTAACTTACAAGTTAAATGAAATATTTTAATATGGGTGTCAAACGGGACCTTAAATATTTGCCATCAGTTTAAGAGCGGGGACGCGATCAAAAGATATAGAATACATTATACAGTAACTAGTTAAGTGATCTCTCTAGAAAGTTGTACATATATTGATTTGGGTCTTACCAATCAAAAACAATAAAATGTTAGGTAATGGCAATTTCCATAAATGTTCAAAGTCTGTACCTTTAATGAGCTTATGCGCGGGATCTAAAAAGCTCTATTCGGCCAGAGCATAGACGTCATTATTTGTTATACTAAACATTGAAAAATACATACATACGTTTATTCGCGCTATTTTTAATGTATTTAATACCTCTCTGATATTGGCTCCAATGAACTTGAATTAATAAAATATAATTTGGCCTTTAAATGCAAACACACAAAAATAAGCCTTTTCCTTTGCAGAATGGATATACACATACAGTATGTTTACATTTCGTGACTACAAAATGTAATTATTTTTATAAGTGCATAGTATGTTTGTACAAAGGTAGATACATTAGGGTGGTCCAAAAATGTACGTTAAAAACTAATGTCGGAATTTTTATGCACTTTTCGAAGAAATGGTATAGAATTTTTGAAAATCAATATTTTTCGATCGGAGAACTCTATTTCTCTTCAGGAGACTTTCAATAACAATACCCAATTTTTTATGAGAGCGTTTAAATTCCGACTTTACTTATTTTGAACCACCCTAATGCACATACCTTGCTATTTGAAAATGCTACGTTTATATACATATGTATTTTATAATCAACGTTGAATAAATCTCCATAAGTTTTGCACAATCAAACGGTTAAAATGAAACAAAAAACTTTAGTATACAAAAACGCGAATGAAAAACATTACGGGTATTCACGATCCGGTGCATATTGTCTAGCATGTTGCATAGATAGCATGATTGGCTAATTTTGTTGTTGTTTGAACACATGAAACAACAACAATCGTGCAAGGCATGCTATCTATACACAATGCTGGACAGTATGCACCAGATCGTGAATACCCCTCTTATTTATTACCGCGCTTAATAGCTACATGCAACGCTTGTACTCGCACTGGTAGGAGATTGATTAAGTATCGTTAAGACTACATACATAATACTAACACATAAACAAAATCCTCCGGTTGACTTCACAGGCACACACACAAGCGCATGCACAGTGGTATTAGTCATAGTTTAAGGGAAAAACTTCAAAGTAACTAAAATATATATTTACCTCTTCTTTGGAGCCCGAATTTTCGAGCAGTAATCCATTTGGTTGCGGAGCTGTTGCCATTTTTTAATTTATATTTTTTTATTATTTCACGATCTAAAATAATGTATTGTAGCAGTCAATCGCCGTTGGTAATAAAATTGATAAAAAGCCGGCAGGAATTTATTGATGCTGTATATTATTTGGCACAATATGATGCTTTCCAAATTTAGCTACGCTTCTTTTGGTACTTTTCTTTGTGTTTACTGCTTTTTTTTTTTTTTTTTTTTTTTTAATATGCATACATACTACATAGAATACACATACAAAATCGTAAAATTCTGTATTTTTTTTTTTTTTTTTTTTTTTTTTATTTTTTTTTTTTTTGTAGAACGCGTTTGTATTTGCATCAGCACCAGTCACTTGTGCGGACGTCTTCGCGGTTCTCAATGAACTGATTTTTAAAATTCCCTCAGCGTATGATCTCAGCTAAGGAACCTGCTGCTGCTGGCTGAGTACTTCCATTGCGTTCCAATAAACCATTTGCCGCTCACGATCGCTAGAGTTGAGATGCGTGAAAGAGTAGAAGAAACACGCAAAGCTTCTACGGTAAAATCCCGGCAAATAAAAAGAAGCATAAGAGCGCATTCAATTTTAAATACATACAAAGGTTTGTGTTTTTATACATACACTCGCATTTATTATTGGATTATAAAATTAACAATACGCTCAGCATCAAATACACCAGTCTTATTGTAGTCGAAACAGTGGTGTGTAAAAGGGCAAATGCATAAGCATCTACATACATACATACATATCCATACACATAGATATTGTTGGAGCTCTATTGGAGTAAAATATGCATTACTAATTTTCGATGGAAAGTCGGAGATTATGTTGGCCATTGAAAAATCCCCCATTTATTGTGTTCAGGTATGTACATACATATGTACGCTAGCGCCTGTATCAGCATCAACCGAAATTACCCTGTGGGGAAAATCTCTAGTTCTGAACTGGGGCGCTTCTAGTACATTTAGACCCAGTACTGGTTCGCGATAAATCTCTTTTGCATGCAAGCAACTGGCGAATTTAACATGGCGATGTCCTAGGAAGTGTCATTTGCCCCCCGCTGCATCCCTTTTTCGATAGTTCCCAACTAGTCCTAAATTCTATAGTCCCGAACCAGTTCTAAAATCGACAGACGAAAGAAAAAAGTATCAAGATTTTTCAACCTTTCAGTTCTGTCGTGTGCGATTTTACATTATTTTCAAAGAAACGTTTTTTTAAATTTGAAATTAAATTTGTTTGAATGATTGTAAGAAATGTACGTTTACATACCTTGCTGTAGCTGATTTTGCAGAGGTGCTCGCTGTTATTGGTTAGATTCCATACCGCCCCAAGATGTTAATATGTTAACACAAAGCTTTGTTTTGTATTACCAAACTATGAAATAGCATCTGCGAAGCGCAGAAGAGAAGCGTATTTGAACGAAAAAGCCGCCGAGCACATATCTATGTAAAGTAAACAAGCCCCCCGCGGCATCCGTTATTCGATAGCTCCGAATTAGTTCTTAATTCGACCAATAAGATCTAGTTCGTTCTGCATCCCTTTTTCTATAGTTCCGAACCATTTCTAAATTCGTCACTTTAGATATAGATTTGTAGTGGGAAAAACTGAAAAAATTAGTTTCTTAAAAGTACCGCTTTTCGCCGATTTTGGACTGGTGGGGATCTAGTTCCTATCGGACAAGTTCCTTTTTGGCGATAAAGACCTAGTACGGAACTAGAAATTTGATTCACCAGTCTGCGGTTTCCCTGCAGGGTACTTAGTCATAAGACTCGTACATATGTATGTATGTATGTATGTATGTATAGATATACGTCTGAAGATATTTTTCAAGCATAAACTCGAGCAGAATAACCGTTGGCTGCCTACAGCCAACAGAGAGAAAGTAAGTAAGAAATTTTCATGCTGATTCGTGTGTTTTTAATGAATCTGAATTTATTTTTACGAAATGCAACAGAATTTCATCTTATTTCCTTTCTTTGTTTTGTCAAATATACAAACATACTTATGTATGTATGTATGTACTTATATGTACATATATTTCATTGCTGATGAAATGTTTCAGTTTCCCCCTCATTGGCGCTAAATAGAAGAGCATTTTATCGCCGGTTCTTGTTTTCGAAGAAATATGTATGTACATGTCGCTCATTTACTAAAAGACTGTCACAACTCAAAAAACGAAAATTTTTCAGCAGACACATTCAAAGTTTTCGAATTGCTCCCAGAATGTAGAAATAAGGAGATGAAAAATTGTCTATTTACGCGTAAACAACACAATATTTTAGCACGAAATTTGTACACAATTGGGGTATTCACAACGGTGTCGTAAGTGCGGTATTGTTGTATGTCGCAAACTTTAAACGGTTAAAAATATATTTTGGGAGCTCCCAAGGTACAATAAAATTGATATTGTGAATTTTCACACTGTTGAAAAATAGTTGGTGTTGGTTTAAATTCTGCTAAATATTTATCTAAACGTTTAAATTTCACGACATACAACATAACGACACTTACGATACCGTTGTAAATACCCCCACTGTGGAAGCATGATAAATATAAGGAGTAAGTCTGTTCCATTTGCCTATAACTTTCATTTAGTAAATAAGCGACATTCATTTAGAAAATTGCATTAACCTAAAGTCAATATGTGTTGAATATTGTTTCATTTATTGATTTAAAATTTCTAATTAGCGAAATTTACATTTATACTTTATTACCGTAGCATTTTGCTAAGGGATGTGCTATTAATCAATTAATCGAGCAAGCTGATAAATCGAAACCCGTTAAATTTATTAATCAAAAAATAGTATTTTTAATTAATTTCTTTATTAATTATATTTTGATTAATCAGAATACTATTTTTTATTTGATTACTTAGAAAACTGATTAATCGTATCCTGATTAATAAAAAACTTGAATTATTGGTATATTATATTTTATTTTATTCAAAAATATAAAAAAAAAAATTAATTATACACGTATGTATATTTACATTTCAAGGAGCTGAATGGTATACATATGTACATATGTATGTATGTGTGCAGATTTACAGTATTGGAATATTGCCATTGTTTGGAGAACCTTTACCAATTTTTGGCATTATGTGGAAGAAGAAAGTTACATTATATTACAGTTTATTATCATTAATAAGAAACATATTTAACACTATCTTATCTGAAAAATTTTCTTTAAAAATTCCTATAAGATAGCCCACTGTCAAGAAAATAAAGAGAAAGCTGTTAATAAATTAATTTAAATTAGATTAAATTACGTAACGTGTTTATAATTTCACCATGGTATTTATTATGCGAGTAATATATACAAAAAAAAATTATTTGCTTTGGCAAAAATCAGATTTTACTTGATTGTTTTGAAAAAAAAAAACAATAATCCGAATCTGTTTAATCAAGAATTTTACCAATATAAAAATTATTTAACCGATTAATCTCAAATTCCTAATTTTTGCTACATTTTTTTTATTTGGTTGATTTTTTTTGCTAGAATTTTATACTCTAATGCACCGAAAAAATACCTGCATTTTATGGCTAATTCTAGAGGATGTTTTTATTTAATTTTTTTTTTTTGCTATCGTTTAATCCTACTTCCTTAAAGGGTCAGATTTGATACCATTTTTTTGGTTCGTACCAAATAAATGAGTTGAATTAACAATAAATAAAATTTATTTCAAGACAGTTGTTCAACACTATGAGTTCCGAGATGCAGCTCTGATATTTACTGCTTAATTTATGCAAATCATTCGTAACGTTTAATTTATTTAAGATCGAAAATGATCGCTCTGAAATTTTTTGTAATAAATACTTGTATAGTAACACTAGTAAAAAAACATGTGGCAACACTGACTAGAAAGGCAAAAGTTTTTGACTGAAAAAAATAAGATAAAAAATTCTGATTTACTAATTTTTACAATGCAATTTAAATTGATGCCGAAACAATTTTCGAAATTTTTGGAAATTTGTTCTATAGTGTGTAATTTCTTGACCAATGATTTTGACATTTTAACGCCATACGGATTTACTAGTTTTGCATAATATTTGAATCTAAATCATAAATTTCTAAATATGTACAAACACGATAACTAGATTCAATATGTAATCATATAAAATCATTGGAATCGTAATTGCACGAAATTCCTAGACTAAAAGTCAATTAGTTTTCTTCTTAAATAATAATAAGCAACTACGTCTTAACTCGCTCAATTTATCAAAGCAACGCGACGTTTAATCGACAAGTATAAATATTTATCAAAATACGTATTTAAATACATATACATACCTACATATAAATGTGCATGTTGCATACATTGTTACGTATGTGTATTATAATCAATCCATCTCCATGCGATATACATATGTATGCACCTATGTAAGAACGCAGGCGCTAAAAATAATTAATTTAATTACTTCAAATGTGGCAGAGCTACTTGTAAGTGTACTCGTACTTACATGCAACAAACTATGTAGGCTAGAAATGTTTTCACAGAACTGTAAAGTCTGGTTTTTTTTTGGTTTCCAAGAATTAATTTTGCTATGCAAGAAATGTGAGTATGCATACTATGACCTTTGCCATCGGACCCGGAAAACCTTGAAAAGAGCAATTATTATGCCTTATGACAACGTGTGGCAGCCAAGTTTGACCTACATATATACTCTATCCAGTATGAAATTTTACCAAGACGATATTGATCAGAGTCAATGTTTGGCCCTCGAATCGTTCGTACATGTAGAACACTGCAAACCTATGTACCGTCTGTGACAACGGATATTCTCCTTTTTCGATCAGGAGACAGCGATCAGCTGCTGTCCGTTATTGGACGGTTTGTCAAGGAGGCCAAATTTTCTAAATGTGGAACCAAAAAACCTCTATCAATATCGTGCCGGGGACAGCGCTTAAAAGTGCGCTATAAGCGTTTATGAATGAGATATTTCACTATCTCCTCCATCTCTTCTGTCATGCAGCAATATGGTCATCCACTGGGAAATTGGCATCCCATTACTTGGAAGCTGCAGAAAGCAGGCGGTGATTTCAACCTTATTTTTCCTAAGGATATCAAACAGCTAGCCTAACTATTCTGCAATGACATTCAGTTCAGAGACAATTTATCGCTATAATAATAGTTCTATAAATAAGCAAAGTTTGTTAGGAAACCCCAACGTATACTCCTATAATTTGGATGAATGCTGGAGCATGCCAGTCATTCCAGGATTTTGTACGATATGGCAAATTCAAACGCTCTTGAGGTCCATCTTTGTTTTTAAGTGCTTTTGTGTTTCGTTCTGAGCTAGGAATTTAATATTCGAAAAGGTCATAAAGGAATAGATGAAAACGAGAAGAAGAGCTAGCGAAAATCAATACTAATACACCATGGTAACCTAAAGACTAGTTGTTGGAGTACTTGCAGGATATTGAGCTTCATGCATTAAAAGTGAGCTTAACTCTGACTCGATTTTCAGTACAAATTCTTAAGCTTGAGCTCACTCGATCATTGCAAAATTTGAGTCTGAGCTGGAGCTAACTTTGTATGCATGAGTTTCATTGTCTTGCACCATCTGTCGAGGCGAAACTGCGATCAGTTTAGAGCAGAGTGACAAAAATTTAGCATTCAAGGGGAGCTTGGAACAGCTTCTCAGCCACTGAGTTCTGCATTGCATGAATACCAATCCTTGTATTGCCAGGGGAATTTTACTAAGACAAACCTTGCTAGTGCGAAGTCTGTTTAAATTATCACCTATCAGCCGAGCCTTTGTTGATATAAACCATCTAGAGTTCGTTGGTTTTTTGCTGCTAGGACCGATCTTAGTTAAGCAAACTTCTTAGTACTAGGTTGGGTTAGCTTAGATAAACTGGCTAGCCACTGCGTGGTTTCTCAGAGATCATTAAGATCTCTAGCGTTACCAGATAAACTACGACCACATTAGCCAACTTATCACTGATTATCAGGAGCAATGTTAAAGAGCAACGCAGTCGTCTTTTGCAAACTAAAACACTTATTCACACTGCCTCAGTGTTGCCGTTGTGCGACTAAAGGGGCAATTTGACCCTTTTTAAGCGGCAATACCCTTTGATCCGACTTTTTGAAAATTTTGATTTTTTGACCCTTTTCAGAAATTTTTTTTAGGATATGTTAACAGAACCATGCTACTAAAAAATATTTCCTCCTGTAAAGTGATGCACTAGAATATCGATGTTTACGCGGTTACGAGGCATTCAAGTATTTAGGTGAATACCCATAATATAAATTAAAACTTTCCGTATAAAAAATGAATATGCATGTATACACATGGACTTATATTTAATTAATTAATACATATTTAAATTTGTATGGAGATATAAGTATATGTATATATACATATGTACTTATATGTACTAATGATTACTCTTACATATATATTTGAGCATGTAAATAAATGATTCGAGAAATTAACAGGCCGTATTGCTATAATTATTTGTACTACTTTTAAAAATTTCTTTTAATTCAATATTCTTAAATAAATAAAAATTTCATAAATTTGAAACATATTCGAAAAATGTTTGTATACTTACATACATACATATATGTATAATTTAAAAAGGATTACAATAAAAATGAATGCTGCTTTTATGGAATGGCCCAATTACAGCAAAGCATTTTGCTACTCTTTTTTTTTTTTAAATTACAATGCTAAAAATTGTGGTGAAAAATAGCACCAAAATATTTTAAAGCATTTGTTTACGTTAAATGTATTCATGGACAGCGACAACAGCAAGCGTAGATTCCACGATTATTTATCGTCAGGCGCGTCTGCAACACCAAATGCCGAAATGAACACATTGATAACGGTAACTATGAAAATGCCACAAATTGTATAGTTGCTAAATTTCTCTGCACGACACACCTCCCTTTTGTCTTCAATGTTGTAACGACTGGTGAGAATTAAGCCAACACCAACAGCTATCTATGGATGTATGTATGTGTGTACAGTTGGGAAATATTGAAAATTTTAATTTCGCTTTATTAAAACGAATAGTATGTATGTCAAATTATTTACCTGGAAGCCAATACTGAGTAATAAGAAAATCAAGCTGGGATAGTAATATGGATGTCTGGTGTAGGAATCCAATACATAACGCAATTGATTGGCATTCGCTGTAAGTAATGCTAAATCCATCATACCCTGGGCGAGAGTTTTCTTGTGCGCGTAGGCATTAACATCTACGCTAGCAAAGTCTTCAAGGGCGTCCATCTCCTCTGTAAATGCGAAAAGTGAAAAGTTGTTAAGTACTTTTTTATACTTTTTTTCTTTTATACATACATATTTTTGATAAAAATATGTACCTATAAAGATTTACCTGGAATTTGTATTGGTCCATCTATTTCGTTTCGTTCCGAATCCATAAAGTGATTATATGTTAATCGATCTTTCTCCGAACGAAGATCTTCGATATTAAACGATTCCTGAAAACATACTTTTTTAATTATTACACATTCTTTAAGTGGAAAGGAGAAAATAATTTATTTTATTTAGCTTAGTTAAGACAAAAATAAAGGAAATGTTCCCTGTGTAATGATTCATCCCCCTAGCACATATGTATGTTGAGATAAACCGTTAAAAGAATTTTCTATTCGTATTTTTTAGTTGTAAAGAGAATTTCACTATTGTCCTATTCAGCTTTTTTAGGTATCTGAAGCTTTCAGTAACGTCTCCCTCGAGACAGCATTGGACTTTCTGATCAGTTGCAGTTAATCCACACATGTGTTGAAAAATTCAATAAACTCAAAATAATACCAAAAAATTTCGAACTCTGCTGATTCGTGTGGAGTTACGTTCTGCTTTGAATACGCAAAAATTATGCTATGGAAGCTTTTGCAAAATATATGAAGAAAACGAGACTTGTGAGGTTTTCTCATCTCCTGTGAAATTTGAAAAAAATGGACTTAACAAATTTTCAGTCTGAGCTAGCGGTACATGTTTATTGGCAAATGTTAGATCAATAAACATATTTTGTTTTATCAACGTTCCATAAATTTTCGGAGGGTTTGTGCATACAAACGATTAAAATGAAGCAAAAAAACTTTACTATACAAAATGGCTAATTAAAAAACTTTATTTATTACCGTGTTTAATAGTTACACGCAACTAAAACTATATATACATTGTAGTTGTTTATTTCTATTTAACAGCGCTCGTTGCAGATTTATTAAGTATCGCTAACACCTAAGCAAAGTTTTCCCGGTTGACTTCAGAGGCACAGACACAAGCGCATGCACAGTGGTATTAGTCATAGTTTAAGGGAAAAACTTCAAAGTAACTAAAATATATTCACCTCTTCTTTGGAGCCGGAATTTGTGTGCAGTAATCCATTTGGTTGCGGAGCTGTTGACATTGTTTGATTTTTTTTTTTTATTTTTTTTATGATTTACAATTATGTATTGTAACAGCCGATCGCGGACAGTTATAAAATTGATAAAATGTTGACAGGGATTTGTATATTTATTATTTGCAGTTTAATTCTTTTCCAAATTTACGGGTCTCGTAATTTATATATGTTTTAAATATGCGATTAGCCCTAAAATTTAATAAAATTCATTTATTGTTCTATTTTTATATTTTTTTTCCACCAGCACCAGTCACTTGAGCGGACGTCTTCGAGGTTCTCAATGAACTGATTTTTAAAATTCCCCCAGCGTGCGATCTCAGCTAAGGAGCCTGCTGCCTCTGGCTAATTACTTCCATTGCCTTCCAATAAACTATTGCCGCCTACGATCGCTAGCGTTGAGATGCGTGAAAGAGTAGAAGAAACTTGCCACACAAAAGCAGGCATAGCTTTGTATACAAAACACGCAGAGCTTCTGTGGTAAAATCCCGGCAAATAAAAAGAAGCATCAGAGCGCATTCAATTTTAAATACATGCAAAGGTTTGTGTTTCTCTACATACACACGCATTTATTATTGGATTATAAAATTAACAATGCGCTCAGCATCAAATACTTCACCAGTCTTATTGTAGTCGAAACAGTGGCGTGTAAATGGCTAAAACATAAGCATCTACATACATACATACATATCCATACACATAGATATTGTTGGAGCTCTATTGGAGTAAAATATGCATTACTAATTTTCGATGGAAAGTCGGGGGTATTGTTGGCAATTGAGAAATCCCCCAAATGTATGTACATTCATTTCAATTTATGTACACCTGCGGTCAACTAATTAGCATCGAAATGCAAGGTGATAGTGTCTATAACTTATGTTTATTTATTTGTTTTTAATCATTTTCATTTGAAATATAATTCACTGGAACCACATAAGTAAAAGTGTCAAAGCTTGCACAAATTTCAAAAAAAATTAATCAAACTTAAAAAAATGTTAATCAAAATTTTTAATCAGAATACATATCTGTGTTCATATGGAAAAGTAGCTTATGTCGAAAGGCTGGCTTTAGTATAAATCGGCATTCGCAGCATACGATTGCGAATGACTCACTGGCGGTAAGCCGTTGAACAACTTTTAGCAAATAAACGTGGAAGAAATAGTTCCGATACTAGCAAGTCAATATTCTTATTAAGTCTCATCAAAAAATTCCTTGCCGTTTAAAAAATAAAGGGATTGCCGCATTATACTAAAGCCAACCTTTCGACATAAGCTACTTTTCCATACGAACACAGATATATAGAAAATTCTCGGGTATGCAATTTTGAAGCTATTCAATTTTAGTCTAATAAAGTGCAAGTTTGAAATCGCTAAAAACTACCGTTGATTTTTTAGATTGATGGAGATTTTTCGTGGAGGGTGTTGCGCATTTTTGTTTTCATATAACGCATGATAAAAACCTATTTTTATATGGAAAAAAAATCCGCAACACCCTCCACACAAAAAAAATTTAATAAAATTAACGATAATTTTTAGCGACTTGAAACTTGCACTTTATTAGACTAAAATTTAACGGGCTAAAAAAATTCCACAAAAAAAAATTTTGAAAATTTGTGCAAGCTTTGAAATTTTTATTTATGTGGTTCCTATTATAGATTGAATTATATAAATAAAAAAGCATAAGTTGCAAGCAAAATCTTTTTGAATTTCGATGCTAATTAGTTGACCGCAGGTGTATGTGCCCGCATCTGCATCAACTGAATATGCTTAGTCATACTACATACATACATACATATGTATTTATGCTGGAGATTATTTGTAAGCATTAACTCGAGCAGAATTACTATGTGTGTATGTAGCTTATATATGTATATGTACGTATGTTTAATGTTTGGCTCCCATAGCCAACAGAGAGAAAGCAATGAAATTTTCGTGTTGATATGTTTGTTTTTAATTTTTAAGGAATTCGATTTTTTTTACGATTCGATTTTTTTTTATCTTATTTTCCTTTTTTGGCTTGCCAAGAACTGTCGTGAAATTCGAGAAAAAAAAACAAAAGTGTTTCAGCTCTTTCTTCATTGATGTTAAAAGAGTATTATCACGCCGTTTTGTTGTTTCCACTGAAACACATAAGTATTGACTAACACAATTCTACCTACAAAATAGAATATAGAAATGTTTAAATATTTAACAACAACGACAACATCAAAACGCACACCGCAAATTGGAGGAGAAGCTCGGTCAAACACTTAGAAAAAGTGTAAGCGCCAAAGTATTATTATTATTGAGATATTTCTCAATCTAAATATTTACACATTTACATAAATATTTTTCAAAATTTTCTTTTTGATGCAGAAATATTCCTAGAGCATGTAGATCAGTGATGCTCAGAGAGAGCTTTTACTTTGTGGGCGTCCATATAAAATCTGCACAGAGCTTTGAGGAGTTCCGCCCGCGGGCGCTGTTTTGAGCATCACTGTTCTAGATGCATTTCTGCATCAACAAGAAAATTTTGAAAAAAAAATGTCGCTCACTTTATTTTGGCGGTTAGGGCACGATATATAGATTTTATAGCCACATGAGATTATGTATTAAGTTAACTATTTATTAAGTTTCATTAGAATGCATATGTATGTATTAGACGACATTCCAAGACTAAAAGTCAATTATTTTTCTTCTTAAGTAATATTTAACACGCAACTATGTACGTATCAACTCGCTCGATTTATCAAGACAACGCGACGTTTAATCGGAAAGTATAAATATTCATGAAAACACATTCATCCATAAGCATATGTATGTATGTATGTATCTGCAATCAATCCATGTGTAGGTGACATACTCGGTGGACAAAAAAAATTAATTTAATTAATGGACTTCAAATATGGCAGAGCTCGTATGTGGTATAATAAACTCGCAGCTATTTGCATGCAACTAACTAGGCTCGAAATGCTTTCACAGAATCGTAATGATATAAGCGACTTGTATATAATTTTTCCGATAATGGCATTCGTATTTTTTTCCAAAGAATTTTTGTTTTTATGCGAGAATATGCAAACTGTGATTCTTTGCCTTTGCCTCTTTGGGCATTGCTACCACATATGTATGTATATCATTTGATACAGTACAAAGTTGTTCCAGAGTAAGTTAGGTTCTATAAAGCCGATGACGCTCTACACCTGCTTTCGGTGCTCGGTCAGATTAGCTTATGTTTTAGATATTCAATAATACTCGTGACTGATTTTCGCTGAGTGTTGTGAGTCTAAAAGTGCACTACAGGAGGTCAGAGGTTTTCCTTACCCGCTGTAACATTTCAAGGCGACCTCTCCGTACCAAGTCATCCCCCATGCAATTTCCCGCAATGACCTGCAACCTAAATGAGTCTAATACAACCAGTCCGAGTGCACCACCATTGCGTTTAGGGCCGTAACAGCCACTTGGGTGTCAGAGTATCAGAGCCGCTGCCAACCAACCAACCTACCTCTTTATTTTTTTTTTTACTTCTGACTGACACTACTTCTTAATGGCAGCTACTTCTGCCTGAAAAAGTACTGCAGTAGTTCGAAAGCCAGAATTTTGTCTTAATGGAGAGCTTTCGGTAGAAGAACCCTCCACCAACCCTACCTTGAAGTTTCGATCTATTTGACGCAGTAATTTAAGCGATGAATTGAATTGAAATTGAGGTAGAGATTTTAAACTCTACATACTATACTTGCGATGTACCATTTCTTGAGTCTTTGTAATTTGCTGATATCTTGGTCAGCTATGGAAGATCCATCGAGATCTGTAGGATGCTGCTCAGTGGCCCAGAGTGTGCTCGAAGGTGCTCAAGAATGCTAGACATTTGTCCCCCTGTACTTGTCTTAGTTTCACCAAGAGGGATGGTGTGAGTCAGTGTCCCATAAGCACAGCAACAACTAGTCTGCAGTGTATCTTGGGGACCCCGTTACCACATCTAAGCTGATTAAGTAATGTAAAATGGAGTTGTGCTCAGTTTTATCATTCAATGATCATTGCTCTTGTCTGGTATCCCAAACATAGGAAAATGGAAGGCAATAAGAGAGGTGACAAATTGGTGAAGGAGGAAGCCTGGTTTGACCTGGGCCCCGACGGCAGAGAAGGACGAGACTTCTAAATTTCTCATTCACGATATATAAATCGGCGTCTCAGATGGTGGTCCCGAAAGAGGTTTTTGACAAACCCTCCGATATTGAACTGCGGCTGATCAATTTCGCCGGGAGCTCAAAGCATAACAGTCTGTAGCACATGGATTCAGCATAACCATAAAGATGTACGGCTGCCCCTTAATCAAAAAACGAGAATTTATGCTGTGACAGTTGGAACACAAGTGTGCAGCCTTATTTTGGCTCAGCGAGCACTCGGCGAAGACCAAGACATGTGCAATCGCAGGGCCATTCTGTCCTAGCGCGGTTCGAGATTACCTTGCGCGTTTCAAAAGCTTCAGCTCTCTCTGTTGGTAAGGGCTCTGAAACCTTATTTTGGGAAATGTAGCCAGACGCTTTGAGGAGTGAATAACTCGTTCAATAGATAATTTAGAGATGTGATATTGTTCGACAATTTTTTAAAATAATATGCAAGAAGGCCTAAGTGTGTAGTTTTTGTTAATAGAATACGATATTATTATAATTATATTTTATCTTAAGCCGACTTAAGCGGCTGTTCCTTTTCGCCACAGATACGTGAAAGGGTTAACTCACCACAGATTGTTACCGCCTAAAAGTATGCTAAAAATTTGTTTCACAATCGAGCACATGGAGCATTTAACTTCATCATTTTAAACAATTCTTTTTTTTTATTAAAATATATATGTAGTATGACAAAAGCTTAAACTAATTCATCTGGACTCTATTCGATTATTTTTTTTATAAAACAAATAACAAATTGAAGTAATTGAATGATGGTAGTACATTGATGTTAATGTTTAGGAATAGGCAGTATCTACTCACTGCTAATACTGACTGATGGATAAGAAACGAAAGATAGTTGAATAATGTTTGTATGAGCGTGTAAATGGTTGTTGATATGTAGATATGTACATACTTACATATGTATGTAAATATGTATGCACACAGTGCACAAACCACTTTGAATAAATGTGAAATGAAATTAGATATTAACAACTTGACATTGTTTGGCATGTAATGTGTTTTGTTTTTCTTCTTCTTCTTCTTTTACGAAATACTTATCTGTATGCATGCGTGTCTATACATATATGTATGTATATGAAAATACATTGCAATGTGTGTAAGCATGCACATACATACATATGTATGTCTATAATAATAATAATAATAAATACTAATCAATAAGGTACACATGGTGCATTGTGCGCCGCTTAGCAGCGCTAATAGGAATATCATATTTAACTAAAATTCGAATTAAAACTAAACTTTAAACTGTACAAGTAAAAAATTAATAGTAGGTATAAAAATCCAACATACATTTAGTAGTAAAGTATTTACATATGTACATATGTATGTATGTATGTGTTGTTTTTAAGTGACTATTGGCCGCATTTTTAATTGGCTGGAATTGGAATGGCTAAAGGTGGCTGATTCTATCTGCCAGTCTGCCACCCGCTGGACGGTTGCTTGTGACACGACGCAAAATCGCGCTAAATAGTTTGTAAAACGCTTAGCAAAAGAAATCCTCTTCACATTTGTTGTAACAACAATAGGGTATGTTGTTGTAGCTGAGCGCATGTTCACGCTTATAGCGTTCCTTCTTGTCGTGATGCAGCTTCTTTGGCTTGTAACGTGGCACCACATCGATTTGACTGAGAATTTGGAAATGCTCTTGACCCACTTTCAAATAACCACCACGTGGATATAAACTGCGACTGATGTAATGACTCTTATCGTTGATTTTGGGATCTGTTAATGGAAATGAAAGAGAAAAGGGGATTTTAGAAAAATTGGCTGATACAAAAAAAATATATGTAGATGTTGGAAAATATTTATTTTAAAAGCTATTGCTATCGAAAATAAATTTAGGCTTAGTAATATTGTATATATGTATGTGCACATGTATATATCAGTAATGGGTAAATTTGTGTTAGCTCAGTACACAATTAATACAGTATGCTGTAATAAAACGTCAGGTACTATATGCTTAAGTATTTTGGATGTCACTAAATACCGAATATGATAGTATTTACATACTTGAAGTAAATATATTTACTTTTTTTACAGTACCCAGTACTTTTATGTGCTTCACTAAATACTGTTTAGGAAAGTAGTCTCGCGAAGTCTCTAAATTTCCAAAATAGTACGGAGAATCCTGGTATAGTCGCGCCATCCCGAAATGTACCGAAAAATCGCGGTTCGAAGAATCATGACGACCATCTAGATACTCCAATTAATTTTACTTTAGTGTTTAAGCGTATCACTTGCATATGATGCACAGTAGGGTGGGCCAAAAATGCATTTAAAAAAAAAAGTCGGAATTTTAATGCCGCCATCGCCGCCATTGTTCTATATCGAAAAATATATTCCCACATTTTTTTTTTGAGATAAAAAAAATTAGGGAGTGCTTAAAGGGAACAAACAACTTTTCGTCGAAATGGTATAAAATTCTTGAAAATCAATATTTTTCGATCGGAAAACGCCTTGTCTTCGAAAGATTCCCAGTAATAATACTCAATTGTTTCTCAACAATTTTTTGATGGTAACTATATTTTATAGGTCCGCAAAAAAACCCCAGAAAATGCAATGGGGGACCAAAAAAAAAAATCTATAGTATTAAAAAATGTTTAAATAAAGAAAAAAGATAATAATATTGAAGGCCTCCTGAAGAGTACAACAGCTTTCCCATCGAAAAATATAGATTTCCACGAATTTTATACCATTTCTACGAAAAATAAGAATAAAATACATGGAAAACTTTAAGCGCTTTGAGGAATATTTAAATATTTTTCTTTTCAAAATAAAAAATAGGGGTATATTTTTTCGGTATAGAACAATCCTAGGGGGTGGCGGCATTAAAATTCTCACTTTACTGGTAGTATTTTCACAAGTTTTTTGAACTTTTTGTCACGATTTTTTTTTTGCCAAAAAATTGTGTTTTTTGGAAATTTTTTAATTTGGAACTACTGAGCGAAAAGTCGAAATGGCGTGTCAGATTTAAAATTTAAGTCAACTGCACCACCGCATACGTGTACTTAAATGTATGTTTATGTACTTTTCTTAAACAAAGTAAAGTATTCGATAATTAAACGGTTGAGGTATACTAACTCATAGCGTTTCTTTTTTTTTTCAATAAATAGTTTTACTACCTTTTTGCAGGTGCTTTTTGTAACTGCTGCTTTAGCAAACAACACGCGCAAATATGCATACTTCCGCTTTTGGCTGCATATATGAAGCACTTTTATAGAAAAACAATTTATATTTATATTTTAGTATTTTCAAGTCTACTCATTCAATATTTAATTGGCAGAAAAACAGTGAAATTCATAATAATCAATGCCAAAGTTGACTGACTTGGTGACCTTTTTCGTATCAGTTAGCCGCCGTTGTCACCACAGCAACCAGCAACCGCCAGTTGTAAACAATGACAAGTGGACAAGCTTGTCGCCTGATCGACATTAACTATGGGTAATATTCGAAAAGCACACGAAAAATCTATATTTACTTTGTTATTTTTTTGTTTTTTTTTTATTTTTTATTGCGTTACACTAAAGGAGAGTGCATTTTTGCATTTAACTACGTTGTTGACGTTGAGTCAACACATATCAACGTGCGACAGACTCACGTATGCATGGAGGCAAATGTATGTATGTACATATGTATATAAATATATGCAGTAGTTTAACACTTAGCGGCAACGCATAATAAATAACTTTTTACTTGAGTCTAATTAACACCTCGCGGAATATTTGAGTTGACAATAAATTAGCGCGTGCCAAATTAGTGCGCTTTGAACACGTACACATGTATGTACATACGCTGCATTTCCTACTACTACTACAGCGAATGTGTCGTCGCGCTATGCATACACATACAAACATGTACTTACACTTAAGCTTATGATGAGGTATCAAAATTCTCAAGAACGTACGCAAGCATAGTTAAAGTGTGAATATATAGATATGTATGTATGAGTGTTGGCAAATATGCGCATTTAGATTTATTTTTAACTTACATTCATTGTGATGTATTACATTGTGATCATATTGCATGGACAGCGAACGCTTCTCCCTCGCCTCGTCTTGCATGAATAGATGCTCGCACGCTTCCATGGCGAATTTCTTCATCTTCTCAAGCGAACAATAGGCATTGCTTTTGCCAATGAAGCCACAAGCGATAATTGTGATGAGCAGTAATCGGAGCTGAGAAAATAAATAAGATAAAACAAAAATAATAAATAAATGATGTGCTTTCTTGTATAATTTTATGTATATGCATTGTTTTTATTTAAGGCTAGTTTTATTAATTTTCACTAAACTTTAATTTTTAATAACTGTAGAACTGATATACAGCATTACAAAAAACTGGTTGACAATGTAAATATGTAAACTACATAAAAATAGCCTATACATGTGTACTAAAATTTGGCCATTATAAGTTACGTATACGCTAGCGCGTACCAGAAGCCTGCATAGAAACAAAAGACTTAAGGCGCGAACACTAAAATGCCAACGTACAAAAACGAATCCTCGCCTGAACTATTTTACGATATATTTACATAGCACATTTGTTTTAATCCCTATGCTGTATTCATTAAGTATATACATATGTATGACAAAAAATAACTATTCATATAAAGCACATTTTTAAAGTACAGGAAAAGGATTAAAACTTTATATGTACATAAGATACCAGGGCAGTTTGATAAATTAGTGGCTTTGTGAATAAAATAAATTTTTTATATAAAAAACGTTTAGTCGAACGTTTAGTCCAACGTTTTGCAATTACTATATCCCTTTCGAATAAGAGATTTCTTAAAGCTCCTCAAAATGGGTGTGGCTTACTTAACCCTTACCAGATCAAGGAAACATGTTTCTAAACGAGTTTCTTCACTCATAGAAATATCGCGAGAAGTGATACTTTAAATGTATATATTTTTAAAAAACATAAATTTTGTAAAAAGAAACAAAATTGTAGAAAAAAAATTTAAAAAATACTATTCATAATTTTTCATAAAAATGAAAATAAATTTTTAGAAAAATATTACATTTTTTTTAAAAAAAAAAGTAATTTTCAGAGAGAAAAAATTTTTTGCAAAAAACTAAATAGAAAGAAAAAATATTTTAATTTAAAAGGTACACCTTTTCCAAAAATTTTTGTTGCCAGCAATGAATATTTTAGGGAAGAAAATCATTTGATTAATTGAAGAAATACAATTTTTTACCAAAATTAGAAAAATTTAAAAAATATTTTTAGAGAAGAAAATCCTTTAATTAATTAAGTTAAAAAAAAAAATTCTCTCTGAAAATTACTTTTTTTTTAAGACGTGTAAGCTTCCGGTATTTAATAGGCATTCAATCAATTAAATGATGTTCTTTTCTAAAAATGTTTTTCCCAATTTTTGGAAAATTTTTCTAATTTTGGTAAAAAAATTTATTTCTTTATGTTAAAAATGGCTAAATAAAATGAGGCACATTATAAAAGTAGGCAAATTTTAACTGCTTCACATGATATTTTTAACAAAAGGAAAAAACCATAGGCTTTTTAATGAAATAAGAAAAGGCACTCTGCTCGTCGTGTATAGTTTTAATTATAGGCTTAAGGCCCAGAAGGGGTTAACAGTACAAGAAGAAAGCGGGCAGCAAAATAAAAAGAACAAGCAGGCTACTGGATATTTTTTAGTCGAAACTAAAACCAACAAGTCCCATAGGTGTAGGGTGGTAACAGCAAGTGCGCTTTGTCGCTTTATCTTCTTCAAGGCAGTATGTAAATGTGTAATGGGTTTTTCGAACATTGTGCCACCTCGGGAATGCTGGTAAAGAAATCATGCCTCTCCACAACCTGCAATTTACATAGACCACCCCTCTACTTATGTGATTTGGGCCTCAAGAGCTGAAAGTCTTTGTCAGCATTTCCTATGGATAATTACAAAACTCAAAAGAAAAAAAATTTATATTCCACTATTGTCTCTTTCGGCATCGCTCTTTAGTTCAGAGAATTATCATTGTTGTTATACTAACATACTTAAAACCATCTGAGACTTTTCAATCGTTCGTAATATAATTAAAAATATGTTATTAGTTTCGAGTCTCGTGACTCATTGTTCTTAAGTTTTGCCTTTCCAGTGAAAACGACGTGCAAGCAAAAAGTATATTTTCAGCAGTTTTGGGCATATTTTCATATGAATTGCATTTCATTGCATTATCATGACCATAATAGTTCAGACGCTGTAGAAAGCAGCCATGACGAGTAAGCAGCTAAATGCTTTAGAAATCTTCATCCAAGCTACGATGCTTTGTATGAGTCGAAAAGTTCAGCACCCAGAATAAGATGTGACCTAGCAGTGTACCGACAGGCTTTTTTGGCTTACGTCTGCGATTTAAATTTTTAGGAGTGACGTCAGATAAGTACGCTGAATCTCGTTAGCCAACAGATCGAATTATATCCCGCTACATACACAGTGGGCACTAAGGCAAAAATCGAAGTTTATAATTAGCTTACAAGTATTTGCATGGCCTCATTCGGGAGCCGCATACCATACGAGCTAAATTAGGAAGGTATTACTCTTCATAGGAACGAACCTCAAAACTTTCGGATTTTAAACACTGCGTACTTTTCAATTGACCAACGCAAGACTGATTTTGCGGCGCCACGAAGCATTACTAATTTGAAATAAGTTTGATCATTGAGCCATCCAAACTGAGTCATACCTACATGATGAAATTGGATCAAGCATGCAAGCAATTTAATTTCATTGTGAAATTTCGCCATATTTATAGCCACAGAAAATAAAAGCAATCTCTTCATTTAGTCATTTGAAAAAATGCCAATTGAGCCGCTTTTGATGACTCAGTAGTTTATTAAAAAAAACACCAAAAAACAAGCGTTTCACCCTAATTCTTGGCGGGCAAATTCTCACAAATTGTTACCAGCACTTTGCCTTTGGCGCGTACGCGTACGCATACATATCGAAATTATGCAACGCTTTACATACTTGCGTACATACATACGTAAATACGTATATGTATATTAGCATGCCGGCATTAAATAAAGATACGGAAGCAATTGCGGTTAACAATGTAACAATGAAGTCTTGCTAAAACTCAACAATAAAGCAAAAACAAAAAAACAAATAACAGAAACAAAAACAAAAACAATATATATGCCGAATTATCGAACAGAGAGAACACAGAATGGTTGGGTGGAGTCAACAGCAATGCCAAAATAAATCGTTATTTTTAACTGCAACACAGCAACAGAACGAACGGCAAGGCAAAGCACAGCAGCTGCGAAAAATGGAAAGTCCCCCATCATTGCAATAACAAAGTGTGTGTGTATGTATTTACTTAGATAGCGGGGAAAGTTTTATTCGGCTAATTGGCGGGAGCGCTAAAAATCTGCAATAACTTTTAGCCATGATTGGGTCTTTTGGTGCTTTGCAATTGATTAACAGCTAGTAGGCACCAATGTCACTTACCGTTAACTGCATTTTGTTTGATTTGAAGTTTAAATAACTGCTTAGTGAATATATATTTTTTTTGGCCACAAATTGTTCAAACACACTTTCTATGCGTTGCTGTCGGTTGCTATTTCAAATAGTTATGCACCGTTTTGGTTGGTAATTTTATTCGCACAAAAGTTTTTTCATTAAATTTTTTCGGCGCTCGAAACTACAATATTTCGAGCTTTTAATGTCTCTCAACTATTTTTTTGTTTTTTTTTTTTAATCTAGAACTAATTTTGAATTTTGAATCAACACTTAGCTAAGAATTAGCAAAACATTTCGCTTATGTTCAAATTCACTTTTGTTCACACAACCCGTAATCCCAACTATGTAGTATGTCTCGGTTTTCGCTTGCTGTTCTTCGCACTTCTTAATTGTGTTTTAGTCAAAGTCGCCGCGTTGTGTTGCGTTGTGTTTCATAATTAAAATATCGAGTGGAAATGAAAGCATTAATTTCAATTGATTCATTTATATATTCGGCGAGTCGGCGACGACAGGTATCGAAAGAAAGGATCGCCGCAACGCGATCACACAACTACATATGTACATATGTATGTACGAGCACAACCACTGCGATGAAATCAAAGCAACACAGCATTTCGTTTAGCGTTCAAAATTGTTGAGCATCATTTGTGCCATTTGTGGGCCATTTGAGCCATTTGAGCAAGCGGCGCTCACAATTGAAGAGCATAACATGTCATTAATTGAGCAATTAAAGCTCAGATTTCGGGAGGTAAATTCGTTTGCTGAAGATTCTTGTTGTTGTATCAAGGTGTGTGTATGTGTGTGTGTGTGTACAACAAACAGTTATTTTGATTGATTGTGAGATTAACAGCGCAAGCAAGTGACGAACGTAAAACGAACGAACGCACGTTCGAATTAATACTCGTATCAAAATATGTACATAGATAGCAACAACAAAAGGCTAACAAATAATTCAGGTGGGAGTAGGAAGCTATTAGACAGTGCATAAATCAAACAATCCGACATCTATATCCGTTGCTAGTATTGTTAGCATGTTTTCAGATAAGAAAACTAGCTACATTTACGGTTTAATGTTTTTTAGTGTTTTTTTTTTTGGTTGTAATTTCTGCGTTTCGCGCAAATTTTTTGCAAAGCGCGAAAAATTGGCTATTTTTAGGTTGTTTAATGAATTAGAAACATTTAGTATGCGGTAGGTAGTAATTGAACGTAAGCAAGCATTTTATTTATTGAGCGGACAATTAAGGTATTTTTTATGCACTTAGGCAATGCTAGTGTGATTCATTTTTTATTAATTTAAAAAAAAATAATAAATAATTTGGCTTACTGTAATTAATTCATTTGGTGCAGCATACCGTTTTAATTTTTTATATATTTTTTTTAACATCTGGCGAACTTTTTTTGGGGCTAGAGGTCTAAAGCTCGTCGAAAACTCAGCTTTCACAAAAAAGTAGAAGTTCTTTAAAGGGAGCAACCGGCATAGGTTGTACCTGGACTTATTTACTCTATACGGTTTTACACTGAAGGCTACATACATATGTACGTATGTATAAGCCAACAAGATCGACAGAGGCGTATTAACAAAACAATTCGGAATACAAACTTGCAACTATGCAAGAAGTTGTTGAATGTCAGCCGGCTTTAAACACTAACACAAGTGATTCGACACAGTTCTCTACTAGATGGGACCGAGTAAATACCAATATTTTACAGCTAAGTTTACCTGGTGTATTGGGTAAAGTTTCTATGAACTTCTTAACAGCGATTTGAAATTTCTATTGTATATTACTGCACATTTTGGTATACATACGTGTTAATTTCTGTACTCTTCTAACGTTTGTTTATTGGAAAATTTCGCAGTTATTTGTGATTGTGTTTGAGATTTGAAAACCAAAATTTAATTTCATTAAAGTGTAGGGTAAACAATTATACAATGACTTTTGGAAGGTAGTTTTACTTCATCTTCTTAGCCGCCATGTTGGCTGTCTGACGGAATCGTGTTCGTTTCGCAGGCTAAGGTAGCATTCAGTCAATCCAAAGTCAAATGGAGGTCCCACTTCTCCAACTAAATGAAACACAGCCGGTAGCTCCCAATAATCGTAACGGCTCTCAGTGGCGACAAAGTATATACATACAACAGATGACTCTCAGCTGTCAACGACGATGAACTGATTGATGACTTGGTATAATCGGTGGTTACCAAAGGAAATCTAACGAGACTAGCTGACACGCTTTGGCTGTGAATACCGGGAGATGTTGCTGGGGAGAGCGGTAAAGCTTAGAACATGGTCGGGCTTTCAAGGGAAGGCACGAAATGTATGTACCAGTGTCAGTGTTGCCAGGTCATTGAAGTGAGAGATCGCCAGTTTGGCACTCAAAAATCGTAATTTGCAGGTAAAAATCGTCGTCGTTTTAATAAACAGAAGCAGGAAGCTCTTTCGGTTTTTTTTTTAATTTTATTTTAGCGTCTGATTGCTATACGTAAAAACAATAAAAAGTTTTACATTTTTATGAATTTTTAAAATTCGCATTACTTTTAACAAAAATATTTTTGATGGTAACTATATCGCATCGGTGGGTATTGAAAACTGTTCATACTTACAAGTTTTGCTAAAGAAATTATTCATAATTCCCTTCGTTCAATAAAATATAAATACAACATCACAACGCAAAAATTACGAATTTGACCGCCAAAAACTACAGAAAAAGTGATGAACAAAGAAGAAAACTACTTATCGATAACTACTACTAGTGCTGCCACATGATATAATTTCGATACCACAGTTATGTATTAACAGAAACGGTAAATTCACAATAGGTGTTTAAACTGCAATTTTTAGTTGTCTGTGTAACTATCTTCAAAGTTGAGAACTAGCCAAATTTGCACATAAATAAAAATCGTCATTCTTCTTATTTGGCACTACTATAAAAATCGTCATTGGGTCACAAAAATCGTTAAATCATCATGGCAGTGAAAATTCTTCAAAATGATGACCAAATCGTCAACCTGGCAACACTGACCTGTGTAACCAACATAAATTTTGTCCGCCTTCGTTTGCCGGCTCCATTGAACCGATTTTATAACAAAAAACACCACTGGAAAATTGTATTTTTCTGTAGATAGCGGAAGTTTTTATGGTTTCAAAATTAATTCAAAAAAATACAACTGCAATCGCGTGTCGAAATTTCGCATTTGTGTATAGTTATTGTTGCAAGCTCTTCAATTTGAATTGTACTTCGACTGCTGAGTGGAAGATCGACCTATCTCGCTATCTACGCTATATCTCATAATTTGCCCTATCTCAGAGTTCGGTTCAAAAACACCCTATCTCACTTCAAAATGTATTGAAAATGTGCTGGATATAGGGCGTTTTTGAATCGGCAGCTGAGATAGGGCGTTTTTGAAACGAGTTCTGAAATAGGGCGTTCTTCAACCAAATTCTGAAATATGGCGTTCTTGTACAGATTTTTGAAATAGGGCGTTTTCGAACTGGCTGCCGAGATAAGTCGATGTTCCAATCACCAGTCGATTTGGGATGGTAACGGTGATTTTTTTTTGCATTTTCTTTTGCTTCATATATATTTTTTTTACAAGCAGATGAATTCGAAAGCGAATGCGTAGAGAAATACCAAAACGAAGCCAAAAGCGAATATGATTACGAAAAAATACGAAGAGCAGCCGAAAACGAAACGCAATGTGACGACTAAGATGAACACGAATACGAAGACAAATATCAGGACGAATACAAAGATGAACACGAAATCGAACAAAAAAGCAGAGACATATAGAAAGACCAATACTAATGCGAAGACAAATACGAATAAAGGGATGACAACAAAGACAAATACGAAGGCGTATATGGACACAAATACGAACATGAACACATATCCGAACATGAATATGAAGTGGAACGACGAACGACGAATACGAATAAGAAGACGAGGTACAAAGACGGACACTAACAGGAAGACAAATGCAGATATGAACCATACGACGACGAAGTCGAAGCTGAATGCAGAGAATAATATTTATGACGAATAATGCGAAGTGGAATACGAATACTAATGCGGATACAATCCGAAGACAGCGGCTAAAACGAACACGCTGGCGAATGCGAAAACTAATACGAATACGTATTAGGGTGATTGACTCGGTTTTTCCAAACCGGTTTCTACCGGTTTTTTTATATATCTATGGGCGGTTTTTTTTCAGTTTTTTCGAATATCGAATAGACCGGATCCTGAGCTCACAATAAAAGTTTTAGTTTTAGTTTAGTTTTAAAATTAAATTCTAAAATTAAATAAGTTTGATTCCAATAAATGAATGTTTGGCGCTTAAATGTTTTCTACGTGTTCGGGAGGGCTTCTCCTTCAATTCAAGCATTTTCACTATATGAAAACTATATAAAATAAAACCCATTTATTAGGGTTTTTCTTAATTTCAAAATCGGTAACCGGTTTTTTTTTTTAATTGCAATTTTTCGAATAACTCAACAACTGGTTTGGGAAAAAAGACGAATAAGCGAACACCATAATACGTGTTCATGCGAAGAAAGTGACTCAGAGGACGAAAAAACTTTCGGAACCCTTAAAAAAACTAGAAAAGCGGGCAGTAACTAGCACTTCTTGTAAGAAATGAAAATTCTTTTTTTTCACGATAAAAGCATCAAAAAGGCTCCAAATCCGCTAATCATGTCCTGGATACTGCATCCAACTTAACCAACCAACCTTTGCGAGTTAAAGTTTTTTTAATCCCATGCAGCGATTAGTGATTAGCGTAGTGACCCAAATGATCGTAAATATCCAAGTGCGCCCTTTTTACTGCCCATCGTAACCAGATCCCCGATAACTGAATTTCGTCAAGTTCAGTTCTATATATTTGGTCGACAATGTACGGATAATTCTATTGATCTGATAGGCTATTGAAGCCGAGGAAATAAAAATAAACTTAAGGATTGTACGACTGAATAAAGTAACCCCCATCTAAACCACATTGTTCACTT